GGTCTTCTTGTTTCAGCAGTCTATACTTGTCCTTGCATTAGAAAATGGGCGTAAATTATCGGCATTAATACTCATTGTCCATTGAATTATCTCTATTCATTTTCCCATGTTTTCTACTGCCATCACCAAAGGGATATGGAAGTATGGAACAACCCTCTTGTAGTTGTAGTTTTGGGTGCCAAATGCTACAACTGAATCCCCAACTGGATTTTGCGTTTACGTTGATCTCCGGGGGCCCAATTTTGGGAGTTCGCCTCGGGCCCGAAAATCACAGGATCGGCACTGGATATATGAAATGAGTATCGTCAAGCATATCCATTCTTGAAATGTAAGAAGAGTAAAAAATTTATGATATAAATCCTTGTACTTCATCAAGCGTTAATTTTTGTATTGGTGATTTCTATTCCTTCAAACTTGAATTTCATTATAGGTAGTTGCCTCCCATATTTCTATAACAGATATATTAATATTTAAAAAATTCTCCTAGGTAGTTCATGTTATTAATGTTTAAAAGATGGAGACTTGGAAGAAGATAAGGTAATAAATATTTTTCTTCTATACATCTTTAGCTATACATTGAAATTTAAACAACAATTCTCATATGTCTATTATCCTAGATTTAGCTTTTTATATTCGCTTCAATAGTCTTCCATGTTCACCAGCTGATAGCAAAAAAGAAGGCTCCATTCACGAAAACTTGAAAAAGGACAAGATTGTTCCTGCACCAGGAAAAGTTTTTCCATCAGAGAACAGCACTAAAACACCACATATAAAACCAGAGCTAATCTTACCAATAATGTAATTTCTAAACTATCCTTATTTCATCCAACCAAAAAGCATAAATTTGCTTAATCTAATCTAGCTGTTCAGCTTCTATTTCGATATGTCTTCACTTTTTGTACTTCCATTAGCAAGAACACAAATCATTACTATTGCACAGGACACACATTTGTTGAAATTTAAAGTCCAGAATTCATTACAAGCTCCATCTTCAACACAAGCACCAATCACAATGGTACATCCAACCTATACACCAACTTCATTGGCCAAATGATTATAGGTTTCTCCAGTCAACAACAATTGAAATTTATTATTTGGCAGAACAGAAATTTATAGATGCATTACAATCTGTCTTAACCCACCAGATTTCTACTTCACATTGGCTACTTCAACACGTCTTTTATGAATTTTGATACTTTCTACATTCATCTTTTAAACTAACAAAAATATATTCCATGTTGCTATCATAGAAGTACTAAACGTTTTCATTACCATTTTCTTTTTCTTTATCTTCAGTAACATATGAGCATAACTAAAATTTTATCTGTGGACTTCATCATAATAAAATCACATATTACTGTTCGAATCAGTTTATTTTAAACCATTTGGGAATAATTGCTTATATATGTGTTAAAAGATTCATATCTTCTGATTGATAAAGGGAGTGGACTAATCCTTAGTAAAGCAAAAGAAGAGAGTGAACACTCAAAAGAAAGTCTGGAAGTTACATTTTCTGCTCGAATTCCTACTGCATGAGAGCTTAATATACTCATTGAACAACAGTGCTGGACTCATTTTCTGTTGTTAAAACATTAGAATGAATAGAGAGCCTAAGTTCTATTTTGTAGTTAACAATAAAACAAACGTTACAGGTAAGTTTCACCGGCACAACAAGGATCGGATACATAAATTTCTTGAAAATTCCAGAGACTTACCCACCATAAGTAAGTGCAAATGTGCAGTAACTCTTCTCACATACTCCACTTTTTATATTAAGAATGATCTCTCCATATGGCTACTAACACTATAAAACGACAAATTGTAACTGCTTTTTTTTTAACTACCGTTCTGCAGCCAATTTAATTATTTTGGAACGTCAGTATCATTTCTATCCTTCTACATATTTACAGCTTAGTAAATTTTATTTATTGTGAACTTTTCAAAATAAACTTCTAGGTGTATGATCTTTTGATTTGTATCAAATACTCACTGAGCATATATGTGCAGCATAGTGTTCAGTGACTGAAGTAAGAGAATTTGAACTCCTTCTCACATTTATGAAGCGTAATTCTCGCATCCCTTTCGAGGAAGAATTGAGAAGGATGGTGACGCCTGAAGATGTGTTTTGAACAGTTTATCTTGTTCAGTCCCTCTGAAGCGACCATATACGTATAAATATTTTTATATTGCTTTCCAAGGATTCATAACTGTCTATTCTATAGTTTCAAAGCTTGAAGAACAGTGTACAAGTTATATAATATCAAGATCCTTTGTAGAATGGATGGAATAAATAGATACTATTAGTTGTGAAGCTTGCTAAAAGATCATTCATAGGCATGCAAAAATAAAATGGAAAGTCTTAAAACCGCAGAATTTAGACAAATGATTCGTGGCAAAGGTTTCATATTTGTCTACAAACTTAAACAATTAGCACTTGGGCAAGTTTTTTAATGTCGACAAGATTCCAAGTAACATTAACATGCCTTTACTTGGTTAATATTTTGGCATCTTTGACTTTGATCATATAGTAAGATAAATAATAGTTCAAAGCATTTATTACTTCAGAGGGTGGTCAAAGAGATGGAGTGTTACAATATACTTAAACAGAAGTGGCTTTTCTACATAGTTTATACTATTTTTCAACCAAAACAGTGTCATGTTTAACCTGGCAATCTTGCCTGAAGCTTGATAGTTGAGAAAAAAAGAGAAGAGGACAAGACATTGTCAAAAAACAGAATGAAGAAGTGGAGTATGGGAGAATCATTTATGTAGTTTCAAGAGTCATCCCTCTTGGCTACGATAAGTAATTAGAAAAGTTGTCAAAATTCATTTGTGTCATTAATGTCCTTGTAAAAATTCTCAATTAAGATTATCAGATTTTTGGAAGTTGGTTAATACCATAAGGTGTGTGTTTTTCATTTTTTTAATGATATAAAGCCTTGAAAGACATAATTTCTGGGGTTCAGTTATTGGTTTCCTCCTTTTTCCATACAATGTTGTATCATTTGGGTGTAAAAGATGGCAACAACTTCATATTGGCTAAATTTAAATTACCTTATTGCATAAAGCTATTGTTATGCAACATTTCTTCTATTGTGTCAAACCACAAAAAAATATGACTTAGGATTTACTTCAAATCACCCAAACAGGATTACTGTCTCCTATTTTTTTCCTTGACCATCTTATCTATGTTTTTTTATTATTTAAGGAGATGAATATTTTTTACTATTGTTTTGATAAAAGTAGATAATTTATTACTTCTTTTTACTGATTGCCATAGGCGTGTGCCTATGAGAGCATGCTGGCTGGCCAATATAGGCTTAGACAGTTAGGAATCACTACGTTGACTCATCCTGCACGACTTTCATCTGCAATGAATCAACTGCCAGATAAAACAATTGCTTTAGCTGTCGCATCACACATTGCGAGAGAACTGCAAATAGCACCATGGAATTTGAGTAGCAATTTTGTGGCCTGTACGAAAGAGGTAAGTTATAGTTTCTTCCCTCTCTACGAGATCCCCTTTTCATGGTTCCCCTTCTCCTATCTCCAATAAAAAGTGTAAAGGAAGAAAAACAAAACCCACCCCTCCTCAAAAGAAAGGAAAAAGAAAAGTGAATTGACATTTTAACTTTACCGTATACAGTATATTATCTGTTATATTAATTATTCGTTCTGTTAATATACTGTTTGATGAATATTTGTTAAACGATAGCTTTGATTCGCTTAAAGAGTCTGCAGGCATGCTTGGTTTAAAGAGCAACCTCTCATACAGGCAATTGACAACTTTAGTTCATTGTTTCTCGAATGGCTATGTTTTCTATTTCCAGTTATCCTCCAATATATCATATTTTAAACCTTAAATTTAAGGACATTAAGTTGCCTACATTGTGATATACGTATTTAAACCATAAATGTGTAGGATCATGTATTTGAAAATTGATCTTACCTTTGATATTCAGGATGAAGAAAAGATTGAGCGTCTGGAAATTACTGATGTTGGTAACCCTTCTGGACAAGGTCTAGGTTTTAGTTATGATTGTGTAACTTCTAAGGCCCCAATTTCAAATGCAATGCAGAAGAAGAAAACAGTTGTTTAAAAAGGATCAACAGTAACGGGAACATATGCTCATCTGCGTAGATTAAGCATGGAAGCTGCAAGAAAGGTTGTTTTACTGCACCATTATGCTTGTATAACCATGCTATAATAGAATATGAAATCATTCTAGATCTGTAATTTTTTACTAAATTTTAGTTCATGTCAATTTATATTTCCTTCCCACTCCTTTGTGTGTACTTTTATTGATCTTTGTTGACTGCATTGGAACCAATCCCAGTTCATACCTCCTACAAAAAAAATTTAGTAGTCCTAATACCATTCTATAATGTTTAATTGTGATAATCCTGATAGAAAAAGGTTAGTTTAAGCTAATTTGATAACATTTTTTTTTACTTCGTAGTTTTGCTCTTATTCACAATCTTTTCATACTTAATAGGTAAAGATTTGATGTGTTGCATGTCTACATTGTTTTTGATCTTGTCTTAAGAAGTGAGAGGAAAGTGAAATGTGTCTTCCTCTTCCGCAACATCTATTCTACTTTTTCTAATGGTCACTTCAATCTATGCTGCATCATAATTTAGTTATATGTTGAATGCTTCAAATTCATCCTACATGAACACTGGTGTTTCCTTGCCTAGCTACCTCCAAAGATTGATTAAGCAATGTAGTTGTACATTTATAAGTTTCCATAGTGGATGTATAGATGCTTAGGGTCTATAACTGGAATACCGTATTGAAAACTTTGGAGATTAAGTTTTCCTCCTCATATCGATTTGATCATCGTATGTACTCAAACTTCAAATTTGTGATTCATTTGCTTAATTTTTCCACATTTTAACAAATTACACAATCTATTTTCAAAGCAAAATTGATGGATACCATTTTTTCCTTATATAAGTTCCTACTGCAGGCTGACAATGTTTTTTCTTTCTCTCTTTCTTTCTTTTTTCAATATTCTTGTACAGCTAAATTCCATAAAGTCAAAAGAAAGCATAATACGAGAAAATAAGTATAGCTGCTTTATGATTTTGATGCTTTATGGACAAAATGTTTCCATTTCATTGACTTCTAAGTTTCTGTAAAGTGTTATAAAATGTTTTTACTATTGTTTTCGACACTGTCTGATTTTCTAGGAAAATGTTAAATTATTTACGATTTGAAATGCTTATGTTGAAGCTTACTAAAAATTATCCCGTGATGAACTTTTATTAATTTTTATTCAAACATGTTAAACACCTAATTTTTTTTTATCTAAGCCAAAGTATATATGCGTAAGATTAAAAAAAAAAAATAGTTAAATGGAGATAATGGTCTAAAGACTTCTGTGGACACTTAGATTGGATTTACTGACAGCCCACCCCAGCCCACCATATTGTTGAATTACGACTCTAGACATTAGGGCCAACAAAAACCCTATAGCAGCCGAATCCGCCGCACGGCACAACAGCGAAACAATCAGAATTCCCCATTTTTCGTCGAGGTAATCTCTATAGTCTATACCATTCCATTTTCTAGGTTTTCCCTTCTTCTGAATCTATAAATCTGAAACAAATACTTGTATTATCGATTTTTAGTTTGTATATATCCATATCTTATTTTGCGTTAGGACTTCGATTTTTAACGACGTTAAAATTACTATGATAATGTATTTTATTAAAAGATTTTGAATTTGATTTGCATTTTTAATTTATGTTCCAGATCCAAGCACAACCAAGGCTAACGAGGAAAATCAAAACGAAGTTAAGAAGGCTAAGAAAAAAGCGGGAGGTGTAAGTTTCTATCAAATGTTAGAGTATTATGTTCCAAATCTAATTCTATTTCTTTTGCTCTCGGTCGGTAGTATTATAATGACATTATTCGTAAATTACCGCTAATACTTATCAAGATTTGTCTTCTTGATTTACTTCGGAAACAAGACATGTCTCAACATGCACCCACTTTAATTTTAACTGGGATCTGAAACTGCTAATCATTCATGTAAATTTCGATTGAATTTACCCAGGCGTGATCAAATTTCATATTGCCTATTGATCAATTCTTATATCTCTCAATACTCATTGAAGTACTTTCAAGCTACTTTCCCCTATAATTTCTTTCTATGCAATGGATTAAATATCACATTATGATGCAACTCTTGATATTAATTATCTAAAAACAAACTCAGAACTGTATTCATTTAACAGTTTAGTCAATTTGTTTTAATTCTGTGTAAAACTTTTCAAAGTTATATGCAAGTTTCTATATATAAAACGATACCTTGGATCGAACTTTTGCTCAAAAAACTAAAAAATATCAACTTCTACGAACGAAGATGAAGAACACAAGTAAAGATTCTTTTCTTTGTAATTACAAAATTATAATAAACAACATGTTTTAGATTAATATAAATTATAATATGAAGTTTAATATTGGTTAATTATTAATAATTATATACCTTAAATCTTGAAAACTTAATTATATGCAATTGCTATAATATATTCAACATACAAATAACAAATTTTTAAACAGTTTTCATCAATCATAACATAATGTGATAAAAACAACAAGGTTTTCAAGGAAGAAAAAAAATAAAGACATCTTAAAGGTTGTATTATGGTAAATAAATCATAAATTAACGTAAAAATGATGATAACGCTTGTGAGACAAAAAGTGCTTGCATTAAAAGATACAATCCTTCGATACACCTTAAATTTGCAAGATATTCAAATTTTAGATGTATTCACTAAATCCCATAGTCACACTGATCAGACAAACTCTTGCTTCTCTCTCATTTGAGAAGATTCGTATATATACTATTATAAATATGTCTTGCTTCTTAAGTTTTTATATTAATAACACTTATTCTTATAGCTAAAATATTTTCTGACTATTATGTCAAATAGGAATGATGTGCCACAGCGTTTCATTCAATTGATAACACCTTCATTGGGCCATAATCTTCGTTTGGTGCAACTTAAAATGATTTCTTTATTAACATTTAAGCACTATTAATATGTTCGTATATAAAATAAATAACATTCTTATATATAAAGCAAAAGAGGATAATTGTTATTTCACTTCAATCCTGGACACTCATTGTTTTGCACTTCAATTTTGTTATCCAGTGTAGGACAGTGTATTAAGTTGATGTCATCAGAAGCTATGGTTATCAACATGTTATTGTGGGTTTTTGGCTGCTTTTGATTAGTTTATTGTCTATTTTTCCAGAGTGTAGCACTCCAGTAGGCCAGTGGCGAGATCAATCAAGCAAACAGAACCGAGCTTTGACCGTCCCACATTTAGCTCAAACTACTGCAAGCTTTTTCTCCCGAGACTGAGATTAATCAAGCTTTTATATTTAAAAGGTACACCGCAAATTTGACTTGAAAATTAATGCAAGCTTTGAGTTGATATTGAGCTAACTGAATCACGTGATCTTCTTCATTTATATGACAACAAATAATATCAGGCATGCATTTGAGCATGAGAGAAAGAGAGTACGATTAAATTATGCATGCATATTTTTTTGACCAATATGATATTTGATTACAAACAAAGTAAATAAAGAGATCTGTTTGAAGGCAGATTATCAAAACTCCAAGACTCCAAACAAACATTTTTGTTGTGATCGGAAAAAAGTAAACAACTGGAAGGACTGTTCTTTAATTTGGTCTTGCGGAGGATGGATTTCCTTTGATATTATGTTAATTCAAGTATCATGGTCGAGATTCTATATAAAAATTTACGTACAATATTAACTTTTTCTAGCATGAGACCAAGCCTAGTTTAAGTCAAGCTTACCCTCTCAACCCCAGGTTAATTAGTTTGAAGTTTTAAAATGTTTGGCTGGAAAATTGACGAGAGAAGTTTGCATAACAAGCTAAGCTTGCGTGCCTCGAGTCAACTTGGCTTAACTGGTCCTACACTCTAATTATGCCATGTCCTCCAAAATCTAACAAACCAAAAAAGTTGGCTAAGAATGGATGTTACAGAAAGAGAAGTAACGTCTGGAAAAAAACATAGAAAATGTGCCGGCCTTGTGCCTCATTTGGATCCGAAAAGCTTCCTACTCCAATACGCATTAATGTCGTTATCTGCGAAAATCAACCAAAAAAAACATAAGGATCAATCTCAATTGTTTAAAAACTTTGTTTCTCCCACTTCAAATCGATCTTGATTGTCAAGCCTTCCATTCCAATTTTCTCGATTCCTTCTTCATCTTCATTTGAGTAAATCTCGAGATCGTCAACGTTTTCTTCTTCTTAATTTTCATTCAAGTAATTTTTGGGGTCATTAACTTGATCTTCATTGAAGTAAACATCGGGATCATGAATTAGCATTCCACAAAGTCCATTAGGAAGTCAGCGAAGTAGACATCGGGATCATGAATTGACGAAGAATAGATGTTATAAAAAGGGAAGTAACGTCTAGAAAAAAAATCCAAAAAATGCGTCAGGCCTTGTGCCTCATTTGGATACGAAACGCTTCTTACTCCTACACACATTGCTGTCGCCACCTGCGAAAACCAACCAAAAAAAACATAAGAATCAATCCCAATTGTTTAAAAACTTTATTTCCCCAACTTTAAATCAACCTTCACTGCCAAGCCTTCCATTCCAATTTCCTCGATTCCTTCTTCTTCTTCTTCTTCTTCATCTTCATTCGAGGAAATCTCGAGATCGTCAACTTTTTCTTCTTTATTTTCATTCAAATAATTCTTGGGGTCATTAACTTGATCTTAATTTAAGTAAACATCGGGATCATGAATCAGCATTCCACAAAGTCCATTAGGAAGTCTAATGTATACAGATGCGTATCTATCACCGACGTCACAAATTTGTTCGTGACAATGGCCTCCGTTCAGCTAGTATATTCGAATCTGCGATCATAAGAGCAGTTCGATTATTAATATTTAGGCCTTGTTTGAGCCAAATTATTGTAGAATGAAAATATAGCCGTTATTGGGGCCCACATAAGAGATAGAAAATTTGAATTTAAATGTTGATGTGATTGATAAATGTCATATTCTTCATTTTAATGAGATAATAATGTATATCAAATGGGGCTTTGTTAAAAATTATTTAATATATATGTAAATGTACTTGAACGTAAAAGCATATTCGAATACTCTCTGAATGGGGGCCACTGTCTCGAACAAAAGTGTGATGTCGGTGACAGATATGCGTCTGTATAGGTATATTAGACTTCATAAAGGATTCTGTGCAATGTTGGTTCATGATCTCGAAGTTTACTACAATGAAGATCAAGTTAATGACTGACACCAAGAATTGAATGAAAATAAAGAAGAAGAGAAAGTTCACGATTTTGAGATTTACTCAAATGAAGAAGAAGAGGTCAATGAAATTTGAATGGAAGGCTTGTCAGCGAAGGAGGTGAACATTGTTTTAAAGCTGGGGAAATAAAGTTGTGAAGCAATTGAGCAATGTTCGTATGTTTTTTTAGTTGATTTTCGCAGGTAGCGGCTGCAATGTACGTTGGAGTATGAAGCTTTTCGGATACAAATGAGGCACAAAGTCTGACGCATTTTTTAGGTTTTTTTTCAAGGCGTTACTTCTCTTTTTATAACATCTATTATTCGCCCAACTTTTTTGGTTTGTTTGATTTTGGAGGACATGACATAATTAGAGTGTAGGACCATGATCAAACATGTGAAGATTTACCAAAAAAGTTGGCTAAAATTGGATGTTATAAAAAGAGAAGTAACGTCTACAAAATAAAGATAAAAAATGCGTCGACCTTGTGCCTCATTTGGATCCAAAAAGCTTCCTACTCCAACACACATTACTGTCGCTATCTGCGAAAATCAACCAAAAAAAACATAAGGATCAATCTCAATTGTTTAAAAACTTTATTTCTCCCACTTCAAATCCACCTTGACTGTCAAGCCTTCCATTCCAATTTTCTCGATTCCTTCTTGATCTTTATTTGAGTGAATTTCGAGATCGTCAACTTTTTCTTCTTCTTAATTTTCATTCAAGTAATTTTTGGGGTCGTTAACTTGATCTTCATTGAAGTAAATCTCGGGATCATGAATTAGCATTCCACAAAGTCCATTAGGAAGTCAACGAAGTAAACCTCGGGATCGTGAATTGATGAAGAATAGATGTTATAAAAAGGGAAGTAACGTGTAGAAAAAAAACCCAAAAAATGCGTCAGGCCTTGTGTCTCATTTGGATACGAAACGCTTCTTACTCCAACACACATTGCTGTCGCTACCTGTTAAAATCAACCAAAAAAAAACATAAGAATCAATCCCAATTGTTTAAAAACTTTATTTCCCCAACTTTAAATCAACCTTCACTGCCAAGCCTTCCATTCCGATTTCCTCGATTCGTTCTTCTTCTTCTTCTTCATCTTCATTCGAGGAAATCTCGAGATCGTCAACTTTTTCTTCTTTATTTTCATTCAAGTAATTCTTGGGGTCATTATTTTGATCTTAAGTAAGCATCGGGATCATGAATCAGCATTCCACAAAGTCAATTAGGAAGTCTAATGTATCTGTCACCGACGTCACAAATTTGTTCGTGACAATGGCCTCCCTTCAACAAGTATTTTCGAATCTGCGATCATAAGAGCAGTTCGATTATTAATATTTAGGTCTTGTTTGAGTCAAATTATTGTAGAATGAAAATATAGCCGTTATTGGGGCCCATATAAGAGATAGAAAATTTGAATTTAAATGTTGTTGTGATGGATAAATGTCATATATTCTTCATTTTAATGAGATAATAATGTAGATCAAATGGGGGCTTAATTAAAAATTATTTAATATATATCTAAATGTACTTAAACGTAAAAGCATATTCGAATACTCTCTGAATAGAGGCCATTGTCTCGAACAAAAGTGTGATGTCGGTAACAGATATGCGTCGTATAGGTATATTAGACTTATAAAAATATATGGACATTATGTACTAATTACCCTTTTAATAATTTATTTAAGACTCATTTGCGCTTTAAAAAAATTGAGACTATGATTGCAATTAGTTTTTTCTTTTTTCTTTTGTTTTATTTAAAGGAAATGATATTTTCGTCATTTCAAAAATTTTAATTGAGAAAATCAATGAAAATGGCCTTTTGCGCAATAAGGGTGAAAATGCCAAAAAAATAAAAGGTATAAACGTTTTCCACAATAACAAAGAAATGTGGGGACGTTATGTGCTAATTACCATTATAATAAACATCTTGGTTTGAGTTAATTATAATGAACTTCTATTATAGGGGCAATTATCATAAAACATCCTTACCTTTCAATATTATTGTGCAAAACGTCCATACCTTTCATTTTTAGCATTTTTACCCTCATTTTCATCCTTCATTGCGGAAATCATTCTTTTCATCCAGTTTCTCAATTAAAAAGTTGTAAAATGACGAATATACCCTCTATTTAAATAAGACAAAAATAAAGAAAAAATAAAGAACCGATTAAAATCATATCCCAAAATTTCAAAAGATTACGAAAGAGTCTCAAATATATAATTAAAAACCAAACCTAAAAGACACCAAAACCTCTGGCCAACCACCACCCAAACCGCCAAAACTCCATACCATTGGATAATCCCCATTCCCTTCTACACATACCATCCAACCACTAACCCTAATGTCACTAGATTTGAAAGGCTTCGATGGCCAAAATCAACAACTTGTCGACACAAAAATTGACTACATCACCTTCTCCGACGAGATCCATGTCCTTTCCATCATACCGGTCGACTATACTCATCGGGGCATACCTATTCATGGTCTTGCAACATCAACAAATGCACACAATCAAAAATTTACATCCCCATTTTTCGAATCAAGCAAAAAAAAAAAAAAAAAACAAACAACTACTGCCCGCACTCATAAGAATTGATATATTAGATTCGTACATCCCCAGTATTGAAATATATTATGTTTTCATTAATATAATTAAAAATTTAAAATACAGAAACTACTATATTTTCTATTTTAAAAAAATACCAGAACTACTGGCAACCAAACTTTCCTCATATACCATAAAGTAACTGACATTTTCTTTCTTGAATGGGCTGAAGAATTGGAGATCATTTAATTGCCTCCTGCCATTACGGGAATTCAAATTGAGATGGAAATCGACTTCATACAACTTTGAATCGATGATATTTCATAAAGCTTACTACCACCTGTCATATTTGGGAAATTCATGTGTTCATTCTTTGAGTTTTAGTCCAATCAAATTACTCGTTGGAGTTTAATATGCGCTG